ATATATTATTATTATTATTATTCTAGGTGTCGTTCGAATTTAAAATGGACACTAAAAGGAAATTTTTGGGATTACAACTGAAAAAAATATATATAAATTTACATATATTTTTCTTTCCAGATTGAAGGACAAGTAAAGTATGTACTATCCTGGTTTCTATTCTTCTGTCCAGCCGTTTGAAGAAAATTCAGCCAACAGTGGAAGACACTTTGAAGTGCCACTTTTACGTCTTGGACGAGAGAGAGAGATTCCACTGGACCTCTCCAACAAATCTATAAGTCAAACCCCAGATGGTTTTCTAGACGCTGAACAAATGTTTTTTCTCGAGCAGCGGAAGTTTGCTGGGTTGACTTCTTCCCAAGGGCTTTCAGCAGGATTGCACAGACCTTTGACGGGTGTGGGTGGCTCCTCAGAAAATTTATTAGATCCAACTTTTTTCCGTTTAGGTTACAGGGCGGATGCTGATGTACGCGGATTGATGGGCTCCAATATATCATCGCCATTTTGTGTAGACCGAACCCCAGTTTCGTCCTCAGGGCAATCTTTTGGATCGCATCACATGATGGGTAGTTTCTTCCAGCAAAGAGACCAATGTTTAGATCCACACGGAGCCATTTGTACAGTGGCTCGCCCTCCCATGCAGCATCTCTCGCCGTTTATTGAACCAGCTTCAATACCTTTATCACTTCGACCTTCCGGTAATACCATGTCTGATAGAAATCCAACTTTGGTACCGAGAGGCCTGTTTGGACAGGCCATTCCAGGTTCTATGGGACTTCCAAGTTTCTCGTTATATCCTGAACGAACTGACGAGAAAGGAGCTTTCGTGGCGCTCCGCCCGGGTGCCGAGAAAAGCGTACTGAATGGAACCCCACTTGAAGCAACAAGTTATGCCGAACATCTCCAGCGACTAAGGGAACATCACGTGCAGCAAAACAAATGTGTAGGCGCGTGCTGTTCTCCTTCACTTGGTAGCTTAGGTCAGCCTCCCAACTCCTGTTCGTGCTGCTCGCCACCACAGACGGTTGTTTGTGGCCGTGGGCCTATGGGATGCTTAGGAAAAGAAACTCCGAGTGGAAAGGTGTGTAATGGCGCCTGTGGATATTTCGCCCCTTCATTCCCTTACCTTGGTCAGCACACTGCTGCTGGTGATGTTCGCTTGAATATGAACGCCTATTACCCCAATCTTGGGGAACCAACAAGAAGAGAAGAACATTTTGGTTCAATGTTTTCTTGGAGTTCTGGTTTGTCAGCAGCTCCTATCAATAAAGTATTGGCTCCAGCTGTCTCTCCAGCCCTCAAAAGAAAAGATAGTACAGGATTAGGTTTAAAAGAAAGCCCACGTGCTGCTAAGGATTTCCCAGGCTATTCAACTCCCACCGAGCGTAGAGATAGCGTCGTTAAGCAACGCTCTCTCCAGAATTCTGGACACAACATAGAAAAGCTGAAAAGGGAATCTAATTGTAGTGAAGTAATTGTTATTGAAGATGGTCCCACAAACAAATGCGCAAAACAGCATCTTTCTAAATCAAGTTCTAAACCATTAGAACATAATGCTAAAAGAAAAGACCACAACCAGAAAGATTTTCAAAAACATCTTAGTGCTCATGATACTAAACTCGGCAGTAAAAGTATGGATCACTCGGAAAACAATGTGAAGATGCCGCGGCTTGAAGCAGCCATTAAAAGTAAAAATAGCTCCGAGAACTCTCAATTACATGAAACAAAATTTTCTGGTCCACCACCACTTACGGCGGCTGGAGTTACTGTCAGCCCTACTCAAGCTAGTGTAACATCCTCTATAAATCCCCCTCTTTGGAACCCTCACATAACAACAAGTATAACTTCTGCCCTCACAAGTACACAAACGTCTGTTATAGCACCTAGTTGTCACCAGCCATTTGAAAGTCCCTTCACGAAGAAGGAGGAAAGAACAGATGTGAATGATTGTAAGCCAGCGATAAATCTTTCGAACAACCATCACTTTAATCAAAATGTTGCAACATCGCTTCCATACAGTATCAACAGTTTGACTCACGACATTAAACCTTCCGCCTTGAATTCTGAACATGCCAAAGAACCCGGATGTTTACGGACAACTCCATCTTCAAAACAGCATATTGATACACGTCTTCACCAACAGGTGACGAAGCTTGATATGAAATATCCAGAAAAAGGTTCGTGTTTTCTTTCTGCCAAAGAAGACCATGGAAAATCTCATTTTCAACCCTCGAAGACACCACTCTCTTATGATCCTTATTCTTTCACTCAAGAAAAATCAGAATACACTTTCGACGATTCCGAGGGTGTTAATTCACCAACAGATGGTGGTGGACTAAAGGCAAGTCGCAAAAGGTTTATGGTAGACTGTCTGGTTAACTCTGATGGGTACGTCTCCCTGAAAAAGAAGAAAAAATCCAGCTCCTCAGACCTCTTCACAGACCCGTCAAAACGGGGAAACGAAGAAATGACACTTCAGGTAAGTGTTTTACACTTAAATTACACAGTTTAGTCAATTGTAACTTTCAAGAGCTTTGCTGTTTCGTACTGAATATTTCTTAGTCACCAATGTGAACTTCATATTGCGGTTGCTGTAAACGTCAATATATAGAAACATAAATCTCGTTGCTTCTTTCTTAGTAAAATGGTATAAAAAAAGCCATTCATGATTTTTTTTGGAATCATCCATACAAAATTAAACTCTGTTAACCTGGTGGTTTTTTTTTTCAATGTACTTTTCGAGACTTTTAATAATGCTTTATGCAGACTGATGTGTTTTGTGCTCATTTACCAATGTTAAACCTATTGGAGTACGTATGATGTGGGTGGTATCCACCTCGGTTAAACTTGTCTTTCCCTGTACTTCATTCCGTGATGGTGAAGGTGTAATTTAGATTGATCATTGGAAATCGATGGCACGCAGTTTGCACGTGTGTTGTGTTAGGGACGTGAGCTCGCTCTTTCCACGAGCTGGTTCCCTAATCTGTAACTCTTGTTCCCTCACTGGAATCGTTTTAGTTCGCGTCGAACAGCTATTAGTATCGACTGAGTAGGACAAAAACGCGATGTTCGCGAAGGTCAGGCAAGGGATGAGATTATTGGAGATGCATTTTTTCAATGCGTTTTATTACCACTTGTATTGGACTATAAAACCGAGTTCCAAACCACATCGTCCATTATGAAATTGTCAATGAATATCTGACACCTATGATTGCTGCATTTTAACCCACGATAAACTACTTGTATTTAAGAGTATCAGTTACAGTATCCAGCAGATGTACAATGTAATGTTTCAAAGTAATAATTTGCTTGATTATAATCATTTTCAAAAACTTGTCAAACAAGCACAATAACAACTTGGTTAAAATAGTACTCCACATCCTACCGTATATTGTGCAACATATTTTGTAATAAAATTACTTAAAATTCTTGAACTTGCGCGTATTTATCTAAATTATGCAAAAAAGAACTATACCTTGTTCTCGTACGTTCATATCTGAACATTCTCTGTCTACATTTAGTGTTGGATTCTATAAGTTGTTTATAAATATCTGTAAACCAGTAACACTAGAAAAGAATGTAGCACTATTACAATTCGTGAGTTTCTTTTGAACATCACGTCTAAACGTGATAAAGTTCAGTGACCAAACAGGGCTTGGAGCACTAATTAGATAGACGATGTATATATTTCTCTAGAGTGAGGTGTTGAGCAATACTTCTAGGTTACGCACACTTCAGTAGTCTAGACACGCACTGGACTCAAGTTTACACACTTGCACTAATTTGTTAGAATTGATCTGAAGGCTGATCTTGTCTTCTGTACACAACGTACTTTTAACTTCACTCGCACTGAGCGTTCTGAGGTACAATTCAAATAATGCATTATATTCGTCGTTTTAACTATAGGCTTCGGTTTTTCTTTTGGTTTCGGTTGTTTTTTTGCGGTGTAGACAACATTTGTTTAGGATGTTTGTGCCTCAGCTCTTTGATATTAGGGACTCGAAGTTTTATAATAATGGAATGTACGAAAAGTGACCTGAAAAACGGTACTAACTCGGTAACCCGTGGCCCGATTTTAACGAAACTTGTTTTATGTGATTTCTGGCTGCTGGTAGAAACTACGTTTAAATATATCAAGCTACCAATTTACTATCTATGAATGATTTCCTAGTAGATCACTCTACATAGCAGGAATTGTCGTTATGAAGGTATACATCCGGTTTTAATTTGTAGTTGGTTAAAATTACTTGTAATAATATTATACCGGCTTAAATTAACTGTTGTTGCACTTTAAAAATGTGGATGGCATATTGACAGTGACAAACCTTGACATCAGATTATCATTAACATTAGACTGTTAGAAATAAGTGGCCTTGAAGTCAGACAGAGAATAGTATAAAATAAAACACTAAGCAGACTATTAGAAATAAGTGGCCTTGAAGTAAGACAGAGAACAGTATGGAATAAAACCCTAAGCTTCTTGCAAAAAATAAAAATGTTGATGGTAGTTGAAGATATACAAAAAAATAACTTTATTAATAATGGAAATATTTCTCTCCCCCATGAAATATGGCCAGTATGAAGTAATTGGTTTAGTTATTTATTCAGATATAAAGTATATATAAAAAAAACTGCCAAGAATCCAGTGTTTTGACTATATTTTTTAGTGGATGAACGTTTACTCTGACCAATAACCACAGGGTTTAACAGTTATTATATATCAGCAAGAAAAAACTATAGCATTTTGCCAATAAATAATCGATGAAGACTTGCGAATGTATAATTCATTCTTGATCACTTGCCTGATAATTCATACATAAGCAAGTTTATTTTTTCGTCCTTCTGAAGTGAAACTCGAGCCTCATAAAAACTACTTGAAGACTGTCTTTCTCTCTGTGCATAGTTTCACTTCATTGTTCAGAGGTTTTTCATCCAGATTTGACATTGAATAACATATAACTGTGATCAAGAACACCAGAAATTATATCAAACTAGTATCAAATAATGTTTTTATACTTTGTACTAACAGCCCTAGTGGCCGAGCAGTAAGTCTGAGGCTTAAAACGCTAAAAATCGGTTTTCGATACTTGTGGTGGGCACAGCACAGATACCCCTTTGTGTAGCTTTGTGTATAACGTCAAATAAAATTCTACTGACCAATAATATATTTAGTATTTTCATTGTTAGTTCTTATATATTTTAAAGTGATTCATCAGGTGGAAAACGAAGTTTTATAATAATGGAATGTACGAAAAGTGACCCGAAAAACGGGGCTAACTCGGTAACCCGTGGCCCGATTTTAACGAAACTTC